TCCGACGCCGACTGCCTGTCTCATGCCCCAGTCGATCCACGACCACAGGACGACCAGGATGGCCCCGCCGCGGTGGTCTAGTGGCTAAGGTACTGGGCTGCTAACCCGCAGGGCGCGGGTTCGAATCCCGGCTGCGGCGGCTGCATTTCCGAGTGAGGCGGAAATGTTGTAGGCCCGTGTGCTCAGATTTGGGTGCACGTTAAAGAACCCCAGGTGGTCTAAATTTCCGGAGCCCTCCACTACGGCGTCTCTCATAATCATATAGTGGTTTTGGGACGTTAAACCCCACTTATCAATCATGGACGACCTGGATGATGAGTACTTCTTGGGAATCGTAGGTGCCGAACTCTTCACCGAGCGACAGTGAGGCGACCCGGAACTGAAAGGGCTAGTAGAATACCTCAAGGGCCAAACCAGCGTCATTCTAAAAATATTCAGGTGAGGACTGACGTCATTTTATTTTAAGAACAACGTCCTCGTGAACAAAAATTTCTCTCCTGCCCGAGCCAGCTACCTTATCGTTGTGCCCCGCCGCGGTGGTCTAGTGGCTAAGGTACTCGGCTGCTGACCCGCAGGTCGCGGGTTCGAATCCCGGCTGCGGCGGCTGCATTTCCGATGGAGGCGGAAATGTTGTAGGCCCGTGTGCTCAGATTTGGGTGCACGTTAAAGAACCCCAGGTGGTCAAAATTTCCGGAGCCCTCCACTACGGCGTCTCTCATAATCATATGGTGGTTTTGGGACGTTAAACCCCCCATATCAATCAATTACCTTATCAATGTGCCTTCGGCATTGGGACTGGAAATTATACAGGCCCTGCAGGATGACCCAATGGCTGGCCACCTTGGTTTTTCCTGCACACTCGCGAGTATACAAGAGAAATACTACTAGCCATGCCTTTCCGCTGATGTCGCTCATTACGTGAGGACATGCCGGGACTTCCAGCGATGAAACACACCGACGATAAGGCCAGCAAGACTTCTGCAGCCCATTGAACCACCTCGCTGTCCGTTCCAGCGAATCGGTATAGACTTACTTGCGCCGTTCTTGACGTCGGCTGTGCGAAATAAATGGATCGTCATAGCTACCAACTACCTTACTCGCTAGGCAGAGGCAAAAGCCCTGCCGAGAGGTAGTGCATCTGAGGTAGCCAAATTCTTCGTCAAAAACATGGTCCTGCATCACGGCACCCCGGAGGTCCTCATCACCGACAGAGGTACAGCATTTACTGCTGAGCTAACCCAAGGGATTTTGGCATACAGCCAGACAAGTCACCGGCATGCAACAGCCTATCACCCACAGACCAACGGTCTCACCAAGCGTCTAAACAAGACCATCGCTGACATCCTGGCCATGTACGTCGACGTTGAACACAAGACGTGGGATGTCATCCTTCCGTACGTAACCTTCGCATACAACACCGCCGTACAAGAAACAACGCAGATGGCGCCGTACAAGTTGCTTTACGGAAGGAACCCGACATGACGCTCGACCCCACCCATGCTGCCAAACATCACTGATGAAGAAAACCTCGATGTCGCCGTCTACCTTCGGCGCGTGGAAAAAGCTCGTCAACTCGCCAGCCTGCGCATCAAGAATCAGCACACGGCTGACAGCCGCCGTTACAATCTTTGACGAAGCTTCGTGGTGTACCAGCCTGGTAACCGTGTCTGGTGTCTGATCGACACCGATACACTGACGTAGACTAAGTGAAAAACTTCTACGACGGTACATCGGACTGTACAGAGTAGTTCGACGTCTCGGCCCACTTGGCTATGAGGTTGTTTCTGATGGCATTACGAACTCTCAACAGCCCCGTGCGCGACCTGAAGTCATCCATGTCGTACACCTCAAGCCATTTGATTCACGAACCTGAATACTGTTGTTGTTGTTACTGTTCTTTATTGCTTGTACTTACTGTTGGTTGTCTTTATTTTTCTACCTTCGCTTTTGGTAAAGTATCGGGACGATGCCTTTTTCAGAGGGGGCAATGCCACATTCCTTTCCTCAAGTTTTGTTATTATCTCGTTATACTACGTTCAGCGGGAACCACGTCTACAATGTTCGAAAAGCCTTGAGGCTGTAGTAGACCGTTTTGTTGAGAATACACCCATCTCGTGAATATTACAGATTATTCTGGAACCTACGTGACCGATAGTGATAACTGTAGAACATTCGATGGCAAGTGTATAAATACCGATGCGCTTCACTGCTTGTCAGTTGATCAACGGCTGACGCTCTGCTTGCTGCTATCAGTGCCAGTGTCTTGCTGTAATCTGGCTTTCCTTTTACGTGGCCACAAGTTAGGCCCAAATAAATAGTTTATGATCCGACTTGCAGTCTGCTCCCTTCGTCCACGTCACGACCTCGTGGCAATATTCCAACAAATATTCTGCCGTAATGCATTAATTAATGTGTGCTTAGTAATCATTCCTAATTATTTAGCAATTAAATATCTATTTATTCTGCCACCGTTTATGCTTTGTTTTTGTATAAATTGAATGAAATTTCAGGCTAGAAATGTAGTGCCACTTCTTTTTTGGTTATGCTGATATCGAGCAAAAAAAGTAATGATATATCTGACGTGGGTCATAAAAAGCGGCATGCCGCATGAATCGTCAATTATGACATTGCCTTCAGTAAATTGATCATATGCAACAGTACACCACAGAATGAATTTCAATGAAGACAAGTTTGTTATGCAGGAGGTTCCATTCATCCGAAGCTTCATGTATTTTGCTGTTTCTTTGCCCCTATGTAGTTGATACGAACAGCAAATACAGTACGAGTGATGTACACAATTTTGTACATAGCGTGTGAAAGGGTAAAGAGAGGCACGCAGATCAGTGAGTCACACTGGAAGTTCATTTATGCATGCTTATGCTTCAAATAGCAAATCAAATGCTCAGTAATGATGACAAGTGCTGGATACTTTTCTTTTTGCTGGATACTCTCAGCTGGATACTTTTCTTTTTGTGTATTTGTGCTTCCCTCTTATTTTTCGTTCCTGTCCCTTTTTTGTGCAATTACACCATGAATTGGTACCAAGTTGCCTCACTTGCCACTTTTTTCTAGACATTTATATTTACAAAGTTACAAAAGATCGTGCTTGAGGCACGCAGTGCTTTTATTCTTTTGACGTACTGTTCCAGTTGCTCAAACACAGAATAAACTGAACAGTGTATTAAATAAACTGTAAAAAGCCTTACGAATTGACGAGTACAGTGAAAGGTCGCACACCTTGAGCTTGTACTTCATTCTTTTCCACTGGAGTTGTTGCTGGTGCATCCATGTATAGGTTCGTCCACTGTTAGAGGGAACACGCGGGCTCAACTTTCGCTACATGCAGCGCTATGCACAGCAAGCAGGGAAAGCCCAGTGCATGCGTAGAACAATGCAAAGGCGGCACAGGGTGCACTTCGCCTGCTATTGAAACGCCTGAGAGAATTTCTACTTATGAATCGCTGCACTTAAGGACAAGGTTTGGTCAGGTTGAGGTCTGCGCTATAGTTGGTTCATGGCTGCAGCAGGGGTAAAAAGAGCGTAACACATTTTATGGAACATAAGACAAAAAGAAAAAAAACATTTTTTTTTGCTCTTCCTTCCAATCAAGAATGAGGGCTATGCAGCTAGTGAATAGAGATTTCAAGGGCCAGATGTTCAAGTGCTATTCAGTTTGAATGTCTTATCTCTGGGGGTTGGTGGGTGTTTTTTTTTTCTGTGTATGTATACGTGTGTGCGTGCGTGCGTGCATCTGTATGCCTGTCCCTTGAAAATTCTACACGGCTCATTACTCCTTCAAGTTGTTTGCGCAACATCGCTGCCTCATCCTTGCTGCATAGTAACACAGCTCTTGACGGGTGATTGCATGGTAGAGCACTAGTTATGGAAGGGATGATTTAGTAGCAGATGACACAGGGCATGCACCGCCTCTACGCACATGTGTTTGGGTTACACCGCTTGAGCTGCATGGTGCTGAGCGAAGCGGGAGCCATGCCCTTGTATGTTCCCTCTAACAGTGTATTGACCAGTGCAAAGAATCCATCAGTTTCGTGCCAGCTGAGGCATCAAGAGGAGCACACTCGGAGACAACTTTTCTTGACAGCACCGTAGAAGCTACAGAGCTGATGCACGTGCTTACTATTGCGCCAAGAAATGGTAAAGTTTACTGATAGTTTTCTCGTTGGCCTTGCTGAAATAAGTGCTACTTTAATTATTATATGACTCGTACAATTGTAGGAAGTCGTAGGTTAAATACAATTATCGTTCACTTTGCAAAAATGGCTTCTTTTTCTTTCCGTTTCTTTGACTGCACCACTTTTTTCAGCTCGGCTGTTTTACAAAGTAAACATGGCGGCCATGGCTTAAAGCAGTGGTTCTCAGCTATGGATGTGTCGGGGACTCCTTTTGGACTGGTGGAAGTGATAGAGGACCCCTTGCAGCGGAGGGGCGGTACGGGGGGTACGCAGCTAAATAACACAACTGGAGCGTAAAACAGGTGCCTTATTTTGCGACCGAAAACATCAAACAACCATGCCACATCACTTCGTTTTGGACAGTTCATCAATACATGGCACAGTCAAAATGCGTGTGAGGGTTTCGCAGATCATGGAAATGGCTTCGCAGACCACCATTTGAAAACCACTGACATAGAGGATCAGTGTGTATGCGTGTGTGGCCTCAAATGTGCACTTTAGTTTCTTATAAAAAATGTATTCGTAATAGGGCACTAAAATGTACGCTGCACAATCAAAGTGGCTCTCCCATTCACAGTTTTTAAGTATATAATTTCCTAAGCGCGTTTATAATGCAATTGAGTGAAACCGAAATCAGCTGCCGTACTATACTTGTGAAGTGTGTGGAAGCCCTCTCTCCACTGCCAAGACAAGTTTTCGTGGAGGATAGCTTTCCCTCTACCAATTTTCGAGGGAAGCTGTACAGTGCAAGCCGTGTTCTTAAAGTGTGAAACCTCCGAGATCGCTCATGAAATGTCTCTTGCACAGCGTGCTGCCTCTTCTACGGGATTCTATCTATGTGCTGATGCAGCGGACACCCAAGGAACTGGACACAGCGCTGCCAACTTGTTACCAGAGGGTGAGAATTGATGGGATTTATAGTTAATCACTGGGATGTTGCTCTTTTCAATTTACAGAACCTGCCATTGTGAAAGGCTGGCTGGCTGGCACTTTTACGCCTAGAACTTTCCTAAAGAGGAATGCAGCACTTTATCTGATTGTAGCGTCGGCAGCACAGGTAGAGACGGAACTGTCTACTAGTGTGACTACCATTTGAATTATTTAGAAAACTAAGGAACTCGGAGTACTAGTGATGCACCCTGTAGACTGACCCCTGCACCCCTCTATACAGTAATCACTGTTGTCCCAAGTCGGATCGTAATATAGGTAGACTGCTTGACATTGAGCTACTGAAATTTAGAGGGGGAAAAAAAGCACACAGAACAGCCAAGGTAATGAAAAGGTGACGCAAACAAAGCTACAAAGCAGGACTTAGGTCGAATTGGCAGAGCTTCGTCATAAAGCAGCTCACGCACACAAAGACGAAAAAGAAGAAAATAACAGATGACTCAAGTGCTCACACGAGTTTGTAGCTTAGGTAAGCATACGTTGCATCATGTGATGATGTGTAGGTACAGTCCAGCCCACTTAAAACGAACCTGAGCGTGACGCGGCATCCATTCGCTGTATCCCGAAATTCGTAGTAAATGAAACACAGCTTTTAAAAAAAGTTGCGAGTGAAAACACAAACTTTTTGTCACGAAAATTCCGTGATGCACGTGTTTCGAAGAGCTGAAGCGATAAGGGCAGTCTTGCGGTAATTTAAAATGGCAGGGTGCTCGTTCGCCGAAGCCCATGGCATAAGTTGCATGAGGCACTGGCTCCAATGTTTCGACGTTCTCGCAATCTGATTCCTCCAAATCACTCTTGCCACGTACTACATTCACAATTCCCCAATCCGTGCATGGTTCCGCGGTGTCGGCAACATCATCAGCCGTAATTAAAACATCGCAACAGATGTCCCACCGGCTCTCCCAGGTGGGAGTCAACGACGCGCTGCCACAAATCGCCGTCGCAGTGGTCCTGTTCGGAAACTTCAGGCTCGGCATCGGGTGCGGAAACAGTTTCGCACGCATGTGGCGGTCATCGTCGTCCACGAAATATTCACCATCTCCACAGCTGAATACCGGGGCGCCCGAAGCGGCAAGTTGACTGCCAGGTGGTCAACAGCTATGAGCAAGCGCTCCACAACGCGGCACCTAATGCACGGATTATGCTCAAGCCAAGTGGTAACACTTTCGACGTTTTGTTGAGCGGCAAGAAAAAGCGTGCTGGTCCTCCCATCGGCCATCAAGACCACACACGCACACTAAAAGTGAGCAAGACGCTCGCATAAAACACATGCCTTAACGCGTGGAACAGCTCTAGACCCGTTTCTAGTCAGAAAACGAAACTAATTCGAGCCAGCATGGTGGACGTCGTGGAGCGGTGGAGGCGGGCAAAGGGGTTGTGATCAAGAGAGGAGAGCTGACTTGCGAGAGAAGGGCAAGGAATTGCGATAAAGAGAGGAGAGGATGCGGTGGGAGGGCGACCTTGAAAACGAAAACACACGAGAAGGAGGCAGGTTGGGTAGCTTGCTTAAAAAAATTTGCGAAACTAGCACATAGAAAAACTTGGAAAAAGTGCCTGCTCGCGCTGAAGTCAAAGCATCGGCTGCCGTGGTAAAAAAATCATTTTGTTGCACCGGCGGGTTGCGTGGCCTCACGAACTTCGATATTTCGCGATTCGTTCTGTGCAAATAACAGCTGTTTTCGCGCTTCCGTATGTATGCAAAAGGCATGCTGAGCCGAGTGCAAAGTGAGCGAGAACAAGTCCTAAACACGAAACGAATCACAAATTATCAGAGTCTGTGGTGTAGCGTATGCGCGGCACTAGACGCAGACTATCGGATACAGTCGGTGGCCGACGATGTTGGCAAATGGTCTGATCATTCTATGCCGGCGACGCCAACGACAGTACAAGCGATCAAAAACAGGGTAAATGGCCGACCTGTCTTTCTTCAAAAGATCGGTGGCAGTGTGAAAACACTGGACTCACTCGTCTGGCGATGCGGGTTGCTCAGAGTAGCGGGGGGACAAAGGACAGAGGGGTGCGTAGAAAAAGCAGTCGGGGCATGGAGGAAGAAAGCAGCTTTCCTTCCTTCATGGTTTGGGGAGAGCGGCAACTAGAGTGTCGCAAAGGCAGGGTCGGCGTTTAACAATAATGTCACGGGGTCGTGACGTGGCCGAAGACAGGAGACTTTACGTTGGAATTTAGCTGTTTATTTGGGTGAACCTGTGCACGGTAAACGGAAAGTCCGATTACAGTAGCAGTCTTGGACTGATAGCGGCGAACGGAGTGTCGGCCGTCGATCAACTACAGACAAGTAGTGAAGCGCGTCAGCATTTATACTCTTGCCGTCGAATGTTCTAGCGTTATCGCTGGCGGTGGCGTAGGTTCCAGGATAATCTGTACAGTTCGCAGAGTAGGCGTGATCTTATCGAAATGATCTACTTCAGTCCGGAAGCTTCTCGAAAACTGCAGGCGCGGTTTGCGCTGAGAATTGTGTAGTGTTTTGGGACGATAACAAAACTTGGGAAATGGAACGTTGCAACAAGAATGTATGGGCACCTCGCCGATGCCTGATCGGTGGTCGAAATTGGTTTTCGGGGAAGTCAACAGACTGCTGACTCCGTTCGCTGTAACCGATCAGCGGCGTTCGGAGACGTTCGTTGCAAATGCGATTTTGTGCCATTAAACCAAGGTATATTTTCACGGTCACGCGGATATTGTTCGCTTTAAGCGAAAGTTCGTTTTAAGTGGGGCCGTTATATATGGGCTCGACTGTATACGTTATTGTGCTAATTGGAAATTTCAGTTGATAGTCAGCGTTCTTGGTGTGAGTGGTTTCTTTTCCTGTTTTTAGTCTTCGTGTGTGTCCAGTGTTTTATAAAAAAATTGCAAATGGGCTACGTTAATAGTGCCATTTACTTATATGCATGTGTGTTTGCACTCAAGTTCCATATACCAGAAGGCCAAAAGATGGTCTTAAACTCTATCTTTGTAAAACGTAGCGGCCATCTTGACAATCTCGTTTGGATGCACTCTGAGGTCGCTGGTAGTCTTGGTTTCAAATAAACTCTGCAGTCTACACCTCCAACTCTAGATAAGCTCTGGTCTGGCTGCAAAGTTTTCTTCTGACTGCCTTGTGCCATGATGTGATCCTTCAGTGTCTGTCAGTAGGAAGTGCTTGTGTGTTGCTGTCTCCTCTGACCACAGCCACAGCTGTGCGTGTAGTTGGAAGCAGAGTTACCAGCATCACAGAAAGCAACAAAGAAAGAGCATCCAGCCAAATGGAGCAATGAGAACACTCATAAGATAAAATTTCTGTTGTTGTATGACTCACAACTTTGGCTTGCTTTTGCCTGTGCTGGAATACCAAAACATCTTTCACTCACACAGTGTGCTACCAGATTTCTACGGCCAGTCACACACTTGATCGCTTTTCTTGTATACTACCATTAACTGCCACTGGCCACGGGTCATTTTCATTTACAGGACATTTTTATTCAAGCAGCCCAGAGCCTATATGGATTCACTACACAGCAACAAAAACTAACCTTGTGCGAATATTTGAATCGTCTTCGATTTAATTTAAATCATCGAAAATTTCAATGTATTCGCAATGAACAGGTAGGTATATATTAGTTTGCAAGTAGCCGCCTGTAAAAGTGGTTTTGCTGCAGTGTAGGGGTGCTAAGCCGCCAAAGCACATATCTAGGGGAAATTTGCTCTGTCGCGAAGTCTGCCTTCATGTTTAAAGGAGCCCTGAAACACTTTCTGAGCAAGGTCAGAAAACGCTGCCGATCGGTAGTCGAGGCTACTGAGAACACGCGAGGCAAATATTATGGTGCAGCATGCGGCCTGCAATTCACAATAAATTTTCAAAGCTGAAAATTGCTGTCTTTTCTTGGCGAATGACACTACCAGCTCTAAAATCACTTGTTCACGGCTATTGGCTGATTTGAGCATGGGGCACTCGTTCGTTACTGGGGCCGTCGCGGTAGGCCGCAGCTTGTCCACGAGTACGTGTGCGATTGCGCTGAAAGGACGTGTATGCAAAGAAAAAAAAAAATAGAAGCGAGAAAAAAGTGCTCAAGGTTGCAAAGCGCATTGGACGTTTTTTCTTTCCCCATCACATCTCTCCCTGCTTAGCTTCCAGCTCTTTCGTCGGGACAAGCAGAGAGAATGCAATTGCAGCATGCAACAAATTCTTGGAACTCCGCTCGTACTAGACTGATTCTAAAAATTTTGCGTAGTAAACTTGTGAGGCAATAAGCTTCTTTACTGGCTCCATGGCTACTTAAAAAAGTAGCCAAGATCCTTCATTATTTTATTAAGCTGTAAAGGTTGTTATGGTGGCTTATATGCTCAAAGTATAATAAATTTTTAAATATTACATATTTTACAGGTTATCACTCGCATCCTACCAAAACTACTCAAGGTTGTTTCGACTTCCTTTAAACAAAAAAAAATGACATTTGCATAGAGGTTTTATTTCAATTAGTAAAAATATTGTGCAGGTTTGTTAGGTCATGATAATTATGTCCATTTTTGTTTGTGTCATACACACCATTTATTTATTTATTTATTTATTTATTTATTTATTTATTTATTTATCGTACCCTCAGGGCTTTACAGCATTGCAAAGGGGAGCGGGCACTGACGAACAATGTTAAAGAAAAGAATACATAGACAAGACACTAGAACATTATTAAACACTGGAAAGCAACTATTATCAACTGCAACTATGTTACACAGCCAGTAGATTATACAAGAAAACTAACAACAAAATCAAACGTTTACATTTCCAACACCAAGTATGTTATCGAGCGATGTTTTAAAACTGCAAGGCGAGGTGATGGATGCAACTGATTGTGGGAGGTAGTTCCAATCCTTGCAAGTTTTAGGCAGGAATGAGTGGGAATATGTTGATGTCTTGAAGCGAGGAACAGCAACTTTCTGCGCATGGTCAGTACGAGTTGAAATGTATGATGGTGGGCTTATTAAAAGTGAACGCAGAAGGGAGTTGTTGTAAATTTTGTGGAAGAGTACGAGACGGGATATCTTACTGCATGTAGCGAGTAAAGGAATGTTAATAATTGATTTCATGTTAGTTACGCTAGCGGTACGGCGATAATCTGATAATATAAATCTGAAAATGATATTTGAATACGATTCGAAATTATTCAGCCAAAATCACTATTTGCTTCGAATCTAAAATTCACTATTTGCACAAGCCTAACAAAAATGCTAAGTGAGGCTGCCCCAAGGCACAGGTGTGGCAGTATACAAAGCGATGCCAATGGTAGTGCAGTGTTTTAGAACAGGGTGGTGAGATCACAGCACACAGGTGAGGCAGCTCATGTTGATGTAATATGGCGCCACTAGTGCTTGGGCTGCACGGAATGCGAAATGCACAGCCTTAGCATGTTTTATCGAAAATTGAAATCGCACAGCTCCTTGGCATGTTTTCTGATATCTTGACAAGCACACAAGGTGGAAAGGCGGACATTTTAAGCTTGTATGAAAACAAAGCCGATGCATCAATTGCAGGCAAACAGCCGTGTAGCGATGCGGATGATTCGTAAACTAAGTGTTTGCATACACTGTTGAAGACATAAACGTTTGGATGAGTAAATTGCTTAGGTCATTTTTCTTTAACAATTATCGCACATGTTAAAACGCGATTGCATTCACAAGTTCAAGTGAGTTAAGAAATTGTGAAAATACAAAAAGATGCATGCCATCAACGAAAAAAAAAAGTTATGGACAGAACAGAAAGGGCCTCACTTGCAACTAACTTTATTATCACAACATTAACGACATATATAACCATAGTAACCATGCGTGTGCACATAGTCTCACATAGTCGTCAGAAACACTTGACAAGATTAACAAAAAAACAAGACAAGAAAAGCCAATAAATGAAAAAAAGACTCGAAGAAATTAAACTTGCGACCATGCAGAGCAACAGATGTATCGCTAATACGCATATCTCCCTTCTTTTTAATGTAGTATGCTTGCATTATTTCACACACTAAAGTACCGTTGCTCTTCCCAAGAATGGATACATTGGAAAACCCAGGCTCACACTTGCAGCAGCCACAATGCATGGGCAAATGTGCCGAAAGTTCATTTTTCACAGAAAGTTCATGCTTCCTAATACTTTCGTTAGTGCGCCGGCCGACATATACCCTGCCGCAACTAAAAAGGATCTCATGCACCACGCCAACCCAGAAGGCGACGTAGGACCTTGCATGCCTCTTTCAAGACGGGGAGGGCCTCGGTGCAGTAGAATTTCGTGCGCACAGGCTAGCCAACTTGTGGTGCGCCAAGAACACCAAAGGTACCTTGTACTGGTTAGCCACATTTTTAAGGTTGTCAGCAACCTTGTGCATGTATGTCAAAACCATGAGCCTTTCATCGGCTGGCTGTTGGTTCTCGATCCGTTCAGTTTTTGAAGGAAGGTTTCGGACACTTCAACAATGACAGAACCAGAGTAGCCAGCTGAACGCAGCTGCGTGACCTGATTATTGTTAAAATTTTCCTGCATTCTATGCGAGGAAGATTCACCAGTTCTCCTTCCATGCACATGGAAACAAGGGCCCTCTTGACAAGTTAGGAATGTGATGCATCAGAAGGCATAAGTACCTCGCGTGAACGTAGACAAAAAGCAGCACAAGCTTTAGACAAAAACTTTGCCCAAGCAGACGACACAGCCGAACAAGGCAAAAGCTAAGGCAATTTCGCTGTGCAATGATCTGAGGCTTCACAAACTCTCAAAGCGTGCCACACTGTCTGTGTTTTACAGTGTGAAAACTTGTAAGGTCGACATGCCATTTAGGTGTATTGTTGGTGAATGGGAATCGTGGCAACAAAATGTAAGAAAATTTTTATTGAAGCAGCTTCATACGCTTGGTATGGTGATCCTTTATTTGTTCAGAAGTCAGATGACTTTACACAATTCTTAATAGGCCTAAACGATGGTGGCAATTCATTTTTTATTGATGTTGAACATTTATTTTACTCGGTTACCCACACAGAGTTGTTTTAGTTGTCTGAAACTATATTGAGCAGAATAGCATTTTTCTATTTGAGAGCACCATTTCCCTTGACAACTTCATGGCGTTGCTTTTATCTCTGCTCGAGGTTTGTGGGTCATGGTAATCTGGTTTACATTCAGAGAAAGGGGATCTGCATAGGTTCATGCATAGCGCCTGTTCTATGTAACATATTTTTCGCGGACTTCGACATAGATTTGGCTCAGGTTATCAACGATGCGAAAGTGAAGATTTTGAGGTACATTGACTACTTTTTAGTGATATTCAAAACTAACCCTTCTTTGAAATTCACTAACTGAGTGGATGAGGTTTTAGCTCTTTTAAGACAACATGCCAAGGGACTTGTTTTCACGCATGAGCTTGGCGGTGTGTTGCGATTTTTAGACCCTAGTCGTACAGACTTGAAGCACTATTTTTTATATTTTGGCGACATTCACTCAACTAAATAACTGGCATGCTATGTCTGTGGCCTCCGCATACAATGGTGTCATTATCGATTAGCAACTACGTTTTAAGAAGTTTAAGAAGTCGCGGCGTTTGGTGTGGGAATTTTGAGGCGGTGTTACCAGTGACATTTTGTTTTTGTGTGCTTTTTCGCTTACTATTTGTTATTTTTGGATAAGGGTGGTGTCTTCAATATATTAAATTTATTGTAGTTTGCTAATTGTAGTTTCCCAATGCACAAAAAAAATGTTTTCTCCTTTAGTGTCCCTTTATGTTTGGATTGAAGCAGGTGGTTACATTAACGTGAACAACAACCACATGCAGTTACGTCCACTTATGAAGCATCCATGTTGCTTTGTCACTGTAATAACTCATGGTTACTGGTGCCATTATGCAAGTGACCGACCTGATGTGTGCAATGCAGGTGATGCAGCTGGAAGGCGTGTACAGTGTGCAGGAGCCCCACTTCTGGACATTGTGCAGCGACGTCTACATTGGCACCCTCAAGCTGGAAGTGGCCAAAGGTGCTGACGTGAGCTACCTGCTCAGCTGCACGCACAGCATATTCACACAGGTGTGTGTGCTGGCTTCTCTTTTTGTTCACTCTTGGTTGCATTTGTCTGTGCTAGCTTTCCATGCTCACACCATATGCTGAGAACATAGCAGGAGCGATGGGAAATTTAGAACAGCAGAAAGTTTGGCTATTGGAAGAGTTTCTAAGAGTTTCTTCACGGAAGAGAATAATTAATAGAAGCAGGGACACGCGAGTAGAAAACACCGCAACACAAAGGCCTACTATTGGCTGAAGGGCCGCACTTACTGTGACAGACAAAAAGAAAAAAAAAAAAAGTTGAGTTGACAGTAATTGGTGTACACTCAAATGTCTGTACCCCTTACCCTCTTTTATGAAGGTCAAAAATGGTTAAACGCGGTACATCACTGGACCCAACACTTATACGGGGGGAAGTGTCCTAGTGCAGTCATTGGCTGCAGCGTTATTCCTTTTTCATCAGTTTCTAATCTATCCAAGCCTCCCCTTAAATTCGGTCTTAACTGAACACATAGTAGGAGTGACTTGGCACCCCCTCAATAAATGACTATATTACTATGGATAATACGTTTGACACTTGACGAGCAATGTGGCCCACTCTAATTATCATTTCAAAGATTACCAACTGCTAATTTGTAATTAACAAAGTCAAAGCTGAACATCATCAAGGCTACTTCATGCACAGCAGTGAAACCATGAACACGCACACGGCTTCGAAAACAAAGTGCGGACGCCGCGGATACCGCAGAAAACTATTTGGTAAAGCGCTCTCCATATGCGACGTGGCCCCACACATGTGACGTTGACTGAACAGTGGCACTGGCTTTGCAAAAATAGGATTTGGCGAGGGAAAGCAGGGAGGAGGAGGGTACATCCACGCATGTGCCCGTGGGAGCAAGAACAGTGGCAACACCAGATCAAGGGGCGCATGTGGTGCAGACCTGCCTCGCGCACACAAGCGCGCAATAATAACGAGCACTCGCTCTCGCCTGGGAATCGCCAGAGTCATGAGCGCGCCGCCGCTTCTTCATGCTTCGTTGGCGGAGAATGCATGTTTTTGCCAAATCGACAAAATCCAAGGCAAAATTTCTAGATAGTCCGTGGCGAAAGTTCGTTATATCAAGGATGTGTCTTGCTGTTACTTTGTTACATAGAGGTTGCAAATGCATAAGCTTCTATGGAGTAACGGCGGGGAATGGAAAAACTTCATAATGTCGAGGAATTGATGATATGAAGGTTCATAATAAGCAGGTTTAACTGTACTCTACACAGAACTCGTAATTCACGTGGTCCTACTTTCTTTTCAAGCATCCCCAAATTGACGATTCGAAACCTAAATTTGTGATTTTTCACATTTCGGGTCTGTTTCAATTTCTTACTGTGTCTAAACTGGACCTCTAGGGCGCTCTATCCAACTGCTGCCTCTTTTTCTGCTCTTAACTACCCGACACTTTTTTTGAACAGATTTTACTGTGCCACATTCTAACTCAGTGTTCATTGCCGACACACACTCTTTTCAGCCATGTGGTTGTGGCCTATTTTCAACAGTCTTGGGGCGGTCGTTTTGTTTCATCTCACTCGTCCATCGCTGACAGCTTGCACCTTTGTGCCATATAAACTAGAAAAGATTCTCTGTGCTTTGGGAGCTGTCTCATTTTGCTTTTGTTTTACGCCTTTCTCACCCTGCATCTGAGTCCCGCGATTAATCTTGCTAGCCTCTGGTACTATGCAGTCGAATCTTATTAATTCGAACACGCTTCATTCGAACTTCCGGTTAATTTGAACTCACAATGAGGTCCCGTCAAAGCTATGTATATTCTAATGGGCGAAAACGCCCGGTAATTCGAACGCGCAAGCATTTGCGACGGTTAAGGGGGAACGCAGCACTTAAATGTAGAAAATCGGCCAAAAAATTGCATTATCTCTCTCATTATTTTCGCGTTCCCGAGGCCCTTCTGCATCTATCAGCAAATTTCGGCTTCGAAATTCTATTTGTTTTCTTTTTCCACTTTGTTTTCTTTTCACTCTGTAGGTTTTCGTGGAAAGTTTTTCCCGCGCAATTCTTGCACCCCCCAACTGCATTGGTTTTCCGCCGAAAAAAAGTGCGAGAAATATGGAAGTAAATACGGTAATTTAGAATGACGATATTGTCAGCCAAATTATTATACATCAATTGTAATTAACATGCTAAGACATCCTTACACAATATTAAACAACACTCAACAACATGACAAACAAGGCGGTGTCGCTAACGCCTGACTCACCACTAGGGCCCACGGCAGACCCATCGCGACAGCCACCGCTCGCGCCAAACGCCACCAGCCAAAGAGAGACTTGCTCAACTCCCTCGCCCGCCACCAAGGCTTGCCTTTCGCCAGGAGTCACCGTCGGCGCTACTGCTCTACAAACCATGATGATGATAGTGGTGATCACCGCTCGCGAACACAATGCGACCTATCACTCAATAGTTGTCACTCCCGAAATATGGCTTCTGTGCAAGACATGTGCGGCACGCGGCGCAAACAACTTTACATGAGGTGTCAGCACCCCCACAACGTTTAGATTTTAAAATATTGACTGTTCAATAAACTTGCATTCTGCCCACTGTTTAGACATGTTAGACCTCTGAGCCTTTCTGCTGCGGCGTGGCTCACATCAAGCAAAAACATGTCTTGCCAGATGAAAGGCTTTAATGGAACTAAAAAAGAAAGAAAAAGACAAGGGTGAGCCGGCACTGCCACGAGGCCAAGCGTCAGCTCGTGAGGAGGCCCAATAATGATGATGACTGCCATCCTGCTGCGAGGGATGAATAAAGGAAGTCACAACAGCCTCCCGCGCCGACAGATTACGCTAGGTGGCTTCCAATGGGTACAGTAGCTGCACAGGACACTTCACAACAGTGCCGTTGGGCAAGCGTAGAAAGCAAGTCCTCACGATGCCGTCACGTCCACCGATTAGTTCTTCTTTGCGAACCAAGGTTCACAGTCGCCTGGGACAATGTTTTTCTCCGAGTAGAACTACGTTGCCTTCCTTCAATATGTGATTTCTTTTTGCTTGGTTGAATGTGTAATTCCCAAGTTCATTGAGGTACTCCTTTGACCAACGAGACCAGAAAGTTTGCAGATCCTCTTCTCTCTTGCTCCAAAGTTTCTTCAGCTGATCGTTGGTCGACTCTGTTTTGATTTTAAGGTCGTAAGGTGGTAGCGTTGTCAGTCTTCTTCCAACGAGAAAATCTGCTGGAGATAAGGGGCACGGCTCATCAACGTCATTGTACACATATGTTAAAGGCAGAGAATTCATTACCGATTCCACTTCCGTTAGTAAAGTGACCAACTCTGTCTGATTTACCAAACGTTGACCAAGCATTTTCTTCAAGCAGGTCTTCACAGAACATACGAGTCTCTTGTAAAATCCGCCCCACCAAGGAGCACTCGGGCAAATGAATTTCCACTGAATCTTCGAGGAAGAGAAATATGTAAGTACATCAGGATGCCGAATTGTTCCCCAAAGCTTCTGTAGATCTTTGGACGTTTTGACGAAGGTTCGGGCATTGTCGCTGTACATTGTGTGACAGAGGCCTCGACGTGATACGAATCTCCGAAGTGCACAAAGGAAAGCCACCGTCGTCAAATCTTCAACATGTTCCAAGTGAACAGCTCTTGTTACAGCACAAGTAAAAAGAGCGATGTAAGAGCGCTGGTGAAGATGCCGTTTGATGTAAAGTGGTACCGCAATATCTACTCTACTTACAAGAAACGGAGGCGTTTGTTTACAAAGATCCTGGGGCATACAAGGTGAAACTTGTTCAACTGGTTTAGACTGTAGGCGTTGGCAGATGACACACCATCGTATTGTTTTTTTCACCAGCTGTCGTAATTGTGGAATCCAGTATTGTTCCCTTATTTGAGTCAGTGTGTCTCGTACTCCTCCGTGGAAGACTTTTTTGTGAGCATGATTGATGATTAAAGTAACGAGGTGAGAGTCTTTTGGTAGGAGGATTGGATCGCGGGAACCGTACGAGTCGTCCGTAATCTGAACTTTTCCTTGTACCCGAAGCAGCCCGTTGTTGTCGAGGAACAATCTTAATTGTCCAACTGGACTTTTGGGAAGGAATCGGATTCTCGTTTGCGACGCAGTTGCCTTCGTTACCAAATTGAGCTCTCTGTTCTACGCGAATCAAGTAGCTCTCCGCCTGTTGAATTTCTTCAGCAGACAGCTCCTCGAACCTATCGCTTTCCTTCTTCAACATTTTAACATTACGAAAAACCCACGCCGTTACTCTTACAAGTTTTGTGAAACTGCTGAATCATTCGTTATCAATCAGCGTTGGCATCGATGTTCTCGTGTTAAGAGCGTAGATATTGATTTCTGGCCCCGTCTCAGCTGCTTCGAGTTTTCCGTTTTCAAGGTCAAGGTTTCCCCTGAAATCAGGCCAGAATGTATGAGACATGGCAAGCCATCTGGGTCCATACCACCACAACTGTGATTTACTCAGTTTGTGTACAGTCAAGCCTCGAGTGAGCAAATCTGCAAGGTTTTCTTTTCCGGCACAAAATCGCCATCGAAAATATTTTGTCAAATTTCTGATCTCCTGCGTCCTGTTCCGTACAAATGCCTTCCAAGAAACAGGGTCCTTGTAAATCCAGCAAACGGTAATCTGGGAGTCTGACCAAAATGTTACTTCACCGATATCCAGGTCGCAGTTCTTATGTAACAGCATAAAGTGTGCATACAAAAGTAATTTATTTGAAGTTTATACGAAACATGACAGGTATGATGAAAGCCTGTAGAGTGTGTCAATATAATTTCTCCTGAAATCAAAGAAATATACAAAAGCCGTCGAAGCGGGCTGGTCTTCGTTATGAAGAGCTGCGTTGTCTTCACTGTAAATAATTTGTTCATTGTAGAGTGAAATAATTTGGAGTTTTTCCTTTGGTTTTGTTCTCGGTTACACTACACTACACTCTCTTTACTGCAATGGCTACAGGCTCTTCGACATTTATGTGCTAATAAAGCATGTGTGCAATGTGAACACTAAGCGTTGAGCCTACCAGCACTTCGAACTTCTTGGCTACACTCTTATTATTTCCACTTAAGCAATTGAAAACTCGCAAGTTTCCCACTTGCGCAGCGAAATCACAAGTTCATCGTGCATAATAATCCTGCGAGATGCGAGGAAGAATGGGGGTGCTGGGTGGTGAATGCATGGCAAACAATAGAAAACAATTTACAACTCGTATTCCTTGTATATGGATCATTCTAGAGTGCACCTGAATCATGTCATGTGAATCGCTGTTTTGGCGTCACAAACAGTGGCCAAAGAACGAGAAGTGCCAAGAGAGAATAACACGCTTGACTGTGTATCTTCAAAAACTGTTTTAGGGCCCTTACATAGACAGCACATGCAAACACGGAAACGAAACAGCAGTCACGGCACCGCAAATGCCGCTCTCAGAAATCTTACAGCTGCAGAAAACAAGGTGAAGTAATGTATCTTGTGCCCAGATTCCCTACTCAGGTAAAAATAACACAAACGATGGCGTGGTCCCTCTCGGAACTCCTGCGGCGGCGCGAACAACGTGAGCAAGAACAGGTGGTGGTGGCGGCGCGGTGCACAGCTCTAGCGGTGGCTTGCATCGCCACACTTGCGAACTGCCTGCACAGCACGACAAAGCTCATGGCCTTAAAGAAGACGCGTTCATTGAGAGCATAGTTTGAATTACAATCGCTGCGAATACCGGAAGTGAGAGAAGCTGCAGCGGGAGCGTGTTCACATGCCCTAATCTGTCTCGCTTTTGCACTGCCAGCTGGATCTGTCGCCGTTGCTGCATTCGATTGTGTCATTTCTTCTGACGTATCTCCCGAAACCATGCTTGTTAAGGTGTAAACTGTTTCTTTTCAGTGCTTTGCATGCATAACTAGAACTCTGTACGGATTTTAATGCTCAGGAATAGATTCTCGAGCGGCAAAGGTGGCAGTGGAATGTATGCGAGGGTCAAAATGAATGTGAACATTTTCGGCGGGTGCGGACGTGGTTTTGTGGCCGCTCTGCCGTTTTCATTTCAATTATCCAGTACTGGTCTTTTCGTGCTGTCGACTTCGTGGCGTGTTTTTCCAGCCGCTAAAGCGGCGAAGCGAGTGAATTTTCAACAAGTTTCGCCACGTTCGCTCCCTTTGATGCCAGTGTGAACGCGCCTTACAGGGTTGGCTGCATCAGTGAGGAAACCTCGGCACTTCATTGAGAGTTGGTGAAAGCAAGAAAGTTCAAAAGAACATCATGGACTCTTTCGCAGCAAGAAGTGGTAGAACCCAACAAAGTTCTTGTTCATCCTCATGATCAGCTTTAACTTTTCTGCCTGCTCCAAAGCAATCTAAGCCAGTAGCATCATTGCTTTTGTGTGCCATGCGTTATTTAACCTTTTTGTTTATTTTCTTTTAGGCCGGTGTCAAGCAGTTGTATGTACAGATTGATTATGCACCAATGTGATCTGAACACGCCACGACGACCAGTGAAACCCGTCTTCCTTGTGCATTGACTGCTGAATGATGTTGCACGAAGAATGACCAAGGCATTGTGGCTGAGAGGAACGGCTCTACTGAACGACAACCCGGCTGACTGAAAATCTTATCACGAGCATTCGATATGAGCGTGACCAGTGGTTGTGATGTTGAATACCCTGTGCACGTCTTGGGTTTGTTGGTGATGAGCGAGGATAGTCTGTTGTAAAGCTATGCCTTTTTCTTTAACCCTTTTATAACTTTTTATAATATACCCGGTTTTGTAAGTTCACTGCGCTTTCACTTTACTTGATTATAGTATCTTGCCTTTATGTGCACAGTGGTTTCTGCATGACAGTAATGTGAGGCAACCTGAAGTCTTTCTATGAGCACACCCAGTTTGCTTAAGAGCACTTATTTGCCAGAAGACACCGACACAAATGATATATAAAATGTTGGGTTCTGCCTTGAGTGAAACATTCGTGACTTCACCCAAGATCAAACGTTCAAAATGGGGAAGAGTGCCATGAAGCTCTGTTCTCTCCTGAGTATTTTGCCTTGTGCCGCTCAAAATTTTGCTCAAACCTGGCAGTTGGTTTTTTTTTTGATGCACCTATCAAATTTTGTGCATGTGCATCATTTCTTTATTTGTTATTGCTGGTAAGCCCGACATGCAAGTCTCCCTGTATGCCAAACAGCGAACTGGGAAAGCTATGCCCTTGCGCAGTGTGTGCAGGCAGACATGCTTCTTCAAGTACTAAGCGCGTGCGAAAGCAGTGTTCTTAATGCTTCTGGTGATTGCATGGCTTAATAAGACCTCGGTTCTCACGTCAAACAGTGCAAGCAAGCAGTGTATCATCATTGCATCACGGAGAATGCACCCTTCCTCATGCCATATCACTTGATTGCATTCAAAAACTGAGCATTGTACATACGGGAGGTGGTGAAGGGATTTGGCACATTATCATGGACTTTTGGCCATTGACTGCATTGTTGGCATTGCTATGAATGTGTATATTCTGTTGTTGTGTATTGTTTTCTGTAACTTTATCGTGACTGTACAGCTTTCAACTGTGTGCGTGTGTGCGCTTTTGAGAAAAGAAGCTCGTGCCTACCAAACTAGTTGTTGCAGACCCGGTGATGATGAATGGAAAATGTAAACAATGAAATGAAACCTTGACTGAGAACCTAGCCGTGTGCCTTCATGTTGCCTCCAAGGCCAAGGTGAACCCATATGCAAGGGCCATTTTGCATTGCACTTATGCAAGTGCGAACTGTGCTCTGCATTTGATGTGCTCTGTGCTTATTCTTTAAGGTGACATTGCATAAGAACCTTTTCAAAGAAACACAAACAGTGAATTACAAGTAATATTTTATGTTGGCGTGAAATGTAGATGCTTGAAAACATCAGTATTATATGCACCAGTGCTTTAATAACATAGAAATTAAAGTAAAAGTTGGACACGACTGGTGGGACATTCTAAAACACAAGCTTGATGGCATAGAAGAGTTTCGGTACCTTTAATCACAGCTGCTCGAACTAGCCATAATTTACTGTAAAATAACGTTTCAATGCATTACAACATGGAATATTCTACTCTACCTCCTGCAGTGAAAAATAATTGGGCAAGACTTGGAGGGTGGGGGGCCTTGCTCGCTGGCAGACCGAAATTCAATATGGTGGCAAAAGAGTCTCTAAGAAGAACGCACACCTATGCTTCTTGTGAAATGCTTTGGTGAACACACATGTTCACTCTTTACTGAACAGAAGAAAATCCTCCTGTGAAATTTAATGTTATGAGAAAGGGGGAAGATGTCCTTCCAATGTTTTGGCATATTGTGACTATCACGAATGCTCTATTGAGGCTGCACTGTTGAATTACTTCTAAGGAATCGTTCACATATCTAAGGACTCTCAGAACTTTGGTTTCTAGGAACCGATGCCACAAGATTGTGTAGGAAAGAACTGGTTGGAAAAAACTAGTGGTAGGGGAAGGGGGCCATTACGCTTGCTGGCGTATGTTTAAATCTTCAAAAGTGGGAAAGGGGTGCTTTCTTGGGATTTTATGGTTGTGCATTTCAGTGAGATTGACGCAAAAAATAACTCCTTCGACTGACCGACCGACCGACCGACGTTTGCTCACACACTGCTGGTACACGCCACGAGCTACGCTATGCGGGCTCTGCGCCGTTCCCAAACAAGACCAATGCCGTTTGCACTTGGCTGGCCTAAACTAAATCCCCTTGCTTTACTGTGCCAGCGTGAGAACTGGCCTAAACTAAACCCCCTTGCTTTGCTATGTCAGCTTGAGAACTGCCATGATTTCGCCAATATATGCCACCTGTGAAGCAGAAAGCACTTCCGTTACACCACAATAGACCTTTACAGGGGTATGTCACCGGTGCACGTGCAAAGCGGTGGTTGGCAAAACACCTCCCGCCGGTTACTGAGTGGGGTGCAGTCACTCGGTGCTTGGGGCAAGCTTTTTTTTTTCTCATAGATCCGTGGGAGGTGCAAACGCTTGGTTTTGGTGCAAGCTTCTTGTTTGTGGTTCAACTTGTACCTCTGTGCACCGAGAAGCATCTCAGAAACAGCCTAGCAACAACCTAGCAGATTTTAGCTGAAGTGTAGCAACAACTTAGAAGCAACTAGATTAGACATCAGAATCGTCCAAATTCGCTGTTTGCAAGACTTGTGCAACTAGTACAACCTTCGCCTCTCACTTTTTTTTTTGGTATGCCTTCTTTTTCGATCACTGTGTGCCTTTATATCAGTTGGTGTTTGTGGTCTCTTTGTGGTCTCTTGACTTCCATATTGTGTCCATGTTCACACGCGCAATGTTTATTTAAACAGAGCTCACGTTTGTATACACAAGAACAGCTAAACTTAATAAAACAGGGTAAAGCAAGCAAGCACAAAGCGAGCAAGGAGGTTGCATCCCCCCTCCCTGACTACAACTCAGCGTGTGTACTTGCACAGGTTGCACAATATAATTCTTATATACAGAGATATACAGAGAAGAGGAAGGCATAAAGGTAAACTAGAGGGTAGTATCTGGCATGCTACCCTGTACTGAGGTTGGAGAATGGGTGGTTCAAAGAGAGAGGAAAAAAATGAATACTATGGGGGGCACCAACAAAGTGCAGTCACACAAACACACACACGTGAGAGCATACCCGTCGGAGTCATTCTGATAGGCCAGTAGGTCACAGGAAGCCTTGTAAGGCTTTCTGCGATGTTGGGTATGGACGTCATTCGACCATGTCGCAGTTCCTGGGCGTCTCCTGTCGTCCTGGTGCGTAAGAAAGACGGATCTATCCGATTTTGCGTGTAATATCGTCGTTTGAATAAGATAACGCGCAAGGACGTATATCCTTTACCGCGCATTGATGACGCCATTGACACCCTTCACGGAGCGGAATTCTTCTCGTCGCTAGATTTGCGGCCTGGCTACTGGCAAGTTCCAATGGCTGAAGCCGATCGCCAAAAAACTGCATTTATTACACCTGACGGACTATACGAGTTTAACATCGTGCCCTTAGGGCTTTGTAATGCGCCTGCCACATTTGAACGTCTTATGGATTATACGCTACGTGGCCTCAAATGGAATATGTGCCTCTGTTACCTCGACGATGTCGTGGTTTTCTCCCATGACTTTCCTACGCACCTCCTTCGCCTCAGGCACGTTTTGACTTGTCTGACCAATGCTGGCCTGCAGCCTAACCTGAAAAAATGCCGCTTCACTGCACGCGAGCTCGTCATCCTAGGCCACATCGTGCCCAAGCACGGCGTATTACCTGACCCAGCAAAACTTCGAGCAGTTGCAGAATTTTCTAAGCCGACGACCATGATAGAACTTCGCAGTTTTTTAGGCCTATGCTCCTATTTCCGGTGCTTTGTTCGCAATTTCGCATCTATCATGTCACCATTAACCCAGCTTCTTCGAGGTGACGTGAACCTCTCCTCCTTGTCTCCTGCATGTGACGTTGCCTTCACTACTCTGCGCCGTCTGCTCACCTCCCCAGCTATTCTTCGCCACTTCGACTCGACGGCCCCTACCGAAATGCTCACTGACGCCAGCAGCTTCGGGCTAGGCGCTGTCCTCGCTCAACGAAAGCCCGGCTATTCAGAATACGTTGTAGCCTACGCTAGCTGCACTCTGACAAAAGCCGAAACTAATTACAGCGTGACAAAAAAAGAGTGTTTGGCTCTGGTGTGGGCCCTTGGAAAGTTCCGGCCGTACCTATACGGCTGCCCGTTCGATCTAGTAACTGATCACCACGCTCTTTGCTGGCTCTCCACGTTAAAAGACCCTTCTGGCCGCCTTGCGCGCGATGGGCACTCCGCATCCAGGACTACGACATTCGCGTCGTATACCACTGCGGACGCAAACACTCTGACGTTGATGTCCTGTCCCACTTACCTTTACCACCAGATCCGACGTGCGGAAACACTTGCCTCCAGACCTTGTCATCGCTAAATCTCGACTCGATTGCCACCGAACAACGTCGTGGCTCGTGGATCGCATCTCTTATCGGGTATCTATCTGGCACCCCCAATCTTCCAGTACCTCGATCCCTTCGACGTCAAGCTTTTCATTTCGCTATCCGCGATCAACTTCTTCATCGACGCAACTATACTCCTGATGGCCGCCGGTAACTACTGGTCATTCCACGCACTTTACGATCGCAAGTATGTGCCTCTCTTCACGACGATCCGCAATGTGGCCACGCCGGGGTGTTCAAAACATATGAAAGCCTTTGCCATTGCTATTACTGGCGCGGCATGTACAATTTCGTACGCAAGTTCGTGTAGTGCTGTCCTGACTGCCAGCAACGCAAATCAACACCGCCACGTGCAACTGGCGCATTGCAGCCACTTCCATGCCCTCCCAAGCCATTTCATCGCGTCGACGTTGGCCTCTACGGCCCCCTTCCATTGACACCAGATGGTAATCTGTTGATTATAGTGGCGGTTGACCACCTGACACGCTACGCCGAAACAGCCGCTTTGCCGAGCACTATCGCTCAGGATGTCGCCTCTTTCATTTTACAATGCTTTATCGATTATCCTTCGACATGGTGCACCTCGAGAGCTCTTTAGTGACAGAGGCCGCGCTTTCCTCTCCGAGGTCGTCGAAACTCTGCTTTCAGAATGCCACGCCATTCATCGGAAAACGACAGCATACCACCCCCAGACTAACGGGCTAGCGGAGCGGTTTAACCGCACGCTGGGTGATATGCACTCAATGTACATGGCATCTGATCATAGCAAGTGGGACCGTGTTCTCCCATACGTCACATTCGCATGTAACACGGCAATACAAACCACCACGGGATCGTCACCTTTCTTTCTTCTTTACGGACACGAGCCTTCCCATACAATCGATACCTTACTTTCCCACAGTCTTGATGCTTCCGAGTGTCCACCTATCTGCGATGCTGCTCGACAAGCCGAAGAGTGCCACCAGCTCGCCCGTACGTTCACTTCGGAAGAGCAGCAACGCCAGAAAGAACACCGTAGCACCGCCCTTTCAAATCCCAGCTATGCCCAGGATATCTTCTGTGGCTCGCCATCCCATACCAACCTCCGGGACTCTCCTCGAAACTTGTCCCCCAATACGAGGGGCCTTACACCGATTTGGAGAAAACCTTTCCGGTTAATTTCCTAATTGAGCCAGTTTCCCGATCGGACGACATGCGCTGGCGTGCACGTGACATCGTTCATGTTTCCCGACTGAAACCATACCATGAGCCTCTGCCTGAAACTTCTTAAGTCGCCAGGATGGCTCCTTTTTCAGCGGGGGCGATTGGGAAGGAGATGTGCCTGTAACGAGCAGCATCGCCAACGCCCGGCTCTCTCGGCTCGTGCTTCGGTTCGCTGCTGTGCCAGTCTCTGCTAAACGGTTTTTCACGCTGTCTTGCCGTTGTCGTTAACAACTAATAAACCTCTTCGCAACATTATTAAAAGTGACATTCAAATTTTTTGATAGTTCTTGCTAGACAGGACATATATATATATATTGTGACCTGCGTAGCTTTCTTGGATTATCTTCTTACTTCCAGCGCTTCATACGTGGATTCGCGGAACTTGCGTTTCTGCTCCATCAACTCCTCGCAAGAAACGTCCCCTTCGTTTGGTCCGAAGACTGTGAAAGCGATTTTACGGCATTGAAGCAAGCCCTCACGTC